CACCATTCACTTCACAGGCGCAAACCACCGATTGGAACTCTTGGAAAATCTCCACCAAGACCATCTCCAGCTAGTGTTCCTTACCATAGTGATGATGACAGTGTTAAAGGTTATGATGAAAATCCAGATGATAGTTCAGTAACTGAAAAGCCTTCAGAAATCAGTTCAACAGACTCTCAAGTATGATTTTTAATTTATAAATATTTTAAAGGTTATTGTTATTAATAATTGCTGTATATTTAACTTCTAGGGATCGGAAAGTGAGAATGAAAGTGTGCGATCAGATCCTCACTCATTTGTTAACCACTATGCGAATGTTAATGATTCTTTAAGACAGTCGTGGAAACGGCAAAAACCTGTTAGAAATTACTCTAGTTATACAGATTCAGAACCTGAAGGAAGTGCTGTCATGAGCCTCAATGGTGGCCAAATTATAATGAATAACATGGCCAGATCTCGTGCTCCACTGCCTGGATTCTCATCATTTGTTTAATTTCTTCTAGTGAGTGCCATCTTTACCAGTCCGTCCGTGATTTTGTTTACTTTAAAATTATTTGTGAATTACTTTATATATGTGTGCACTTTACTATGACTTATTTCATAAACTGGTCAACATTACTTTAAAATTGAAAAATGTTTAAGTGTCTTTTACAGACTGATAAATTGTATGTTTAATTTAGCTCTATAACAATTTGATCTCAATTCTATCTTAAAAAGGTTTTTACTTAAACTAAAAATCATCAATATTTTCAACCACATTTACTTATATTATTAAGATTTAAAGACTGATTGTCCTGAACCTAATAAATTACATTTCAGTATTATTTTTTAATTTCATTTACAATCATTTTCTGAGTATTTTAATTAAATTAATTGATTTTATATTGATTACACTATAAATTGAAATGTTATGCTATTGTATAAAATAATATTAAATTATTATAGATGATGGTAATGTTATTATGTGTTTCTAGTTTTAAATGCCATAAAATATTGATTATTTATGTCATATTTTGATTTTTTAAATTAATTTTTAGGGTTTTAATTTCTTTATTTTAATGAGTATCTTGACTGAATTATTATTTTTTATATTAAAAGAAAAAAACACATTTAATTGTATTCCTTTATGTGATTCGTATGCTGATCATGATTATTTTATACATCTTTATATTTAATGTAAATGTGGTTCGACAAATTTTATTGAATAGTAGTATTTGTGATGATTTGACACAAGTTTTGTTCATAATAACTTGAGTCCAAATATTAACATATATTAAATTAATTGAATATCAAATGCTTTTACTATTTGTCTTTTTAAGTTTTGTATATTATTGTAACTGATATTATGTACCCTAACAATTATTGGAACATTAACTAAGTAGTTTAAATCACAGTATAATACAAAAACTGGGAGATCAAGCAATAATTTTTTTTTATAGATAATACTTTAATCTAGTATTATTAGTAATTTAAAAAAGAAAATAATAATAATTTAGTCAATTTTAAACGAATTTATATTGTATGTATTTTTTATTAATGATAAATTATAAACATCTATTATTATTTTTTGTACAATTTCATTAGTTTAAAACCTTAAATAAGTAATCTTGGGTCAATTTAATACTGGTTTGAGATCGTTTGATTGACAAAACTTCAGAGAACATGTCAAAAAGCATTTGTAATTGTCAATTGCCCTTTATCAAACCAGTGTATACTGGTCTCAAGTTTGGAATGTTTTGCATATTTTCTTAGTCAGATCTAAATTATTCAAAATGTAACTACATTTAAATCTACTTAAAACTTAGAAAAAAATTTCCAATTACTTTATACTTTCTTATATAGTTCTTGTGAAATTCTTATCACATTGTATTTTTACTATTGTTTTTGTGCTTATTGTTTATCATAAATTTTTATATTTTCATTATAAAATGTATGATATAGAATTACAGTAATGACAGCGTATTACAATTAGTTTATGAACCTAATACTTTGTTTTACTTTACTATCATTATTACTATTGTTATAGATAATAACAATATTGCTACTTAGTACTTATTACACTCAAATTTTGACTGCATTGAAGTGTGACTAACTTAATTCCAAACATAGTTATAAGATATCTTATGATCTTAAGATATAAAATCACCTTTTCTAACTCTGATATAATATGATGAGCAGATATTAAAATCAGAATATCATGCATATCTTCAATTACAATTTCAAATTTAAATCATATTGTATGGCTTCTTTGAATTTATTCTCCTACTCGTGATTTCAGTAGATACTATTACATAAATTGTTGTTATGTATTAGGTTATTCTACTAACATGAATTGTCAATATTTTATAACCAATAAATAAACATCATAATTAAACCTATGTATTTTATTCATTGTTTCTCATAAAATATGCCAAATCATTGCAATATACTGTATATTATGTATATAATACAAAAAAACTGCTTTTTAAATTCTTGATTTCCTTTGATGGTTGAAAAATAAATATGTCAGTCACAACATTTGGTCATACCAAAGGTGATAATATTTTATATTTGTCCATTTTAACTGTATAATAATGACTCATAATTCATAAATGTTTTTCACAGTTTACTGTTAATGTATTGAATACATTTTTAAACTTCTAAAGTCTATAATATTTTAAGAAAACATTTCAATTACCTATTTAAATTTTATACTTACTGAAATTGTATAAGAGAAATGTGTCTTTAACAATTTCTTCTATATTTATTAAGATAATAAATTAAGTTGTTGTGCTCGAAACTAAACAGTTTTCCAATTTTTGATTTTTATTTAAAACTACATTTTTGGTAGATTAATTTTGGTATCTGTTGAGTTTTGACCATGTAACTTATTAATTGTAAACAATTGTTTTCCTCAATTTAGTAAAAATAAAAGAGTGCTCTTACTACTTAGTATATTTATTTATTTATTTTTTTTTAGTTTGAATTCTGTGTTATTGTTGTATAATAGATGTTTTGTGTTAAGTTATGTCACCAAGATAAAAACTTACTTATCTTCTTAAAATATTGATGTATTTTTTTTTTTAATGTTCAGTGCTTACTGTTTAAACTATTCAACTATTTTCCTATTTTTTGAATTCTTATTTTGGATGACCAATGTAGTATTAATTACAACTGTTAATTTAATGTCATATATTGTGTTCAGCAGTAGTAATTTACAATTATTGATAACAATTTTTTTTAAATATTGTTTGTAAATGTTTATATACATGTTTTTTTTATTTTTGAGTATTATGTTTTGTATAATAATTTAGTTTATAATTTTTGTACTATTTTTATTATTACTTTTGTCACTGTGAATTTACATTTCCATAGGTTATTGTGTATTATATACTATTTAATATATGTCATTTTAAATTGAAAAAATGTATTCATTTGATAAAAGACTTAATTTTTTGGTGTGATCCTTAGAATAATCCTACACTGCAACTTTTAAGAAATTTTAATGCTTGTATCAATGTTTTTACTTAATAGATATAGTTAACATGGGTGTGAATTTACATATTAGTATAAATTTATATAGGTAAGATTAGACAATATGCAAATTAATTCAATTTTTTAACGCTTTAATTTTTGTTAAATGGTTTTTTTTTTTAAACTAAATATTTGCAATCTATGCCAAAGCACAATTATTGAAATTGATAAAAGTATTTATACAAATACAACAATTTGTATTGAATAATAATTACACAATATTACAATTCATTATTAAATTCTTAACTTAAAGATAATTTAAAGGGCAATTTAATTTTCTTTAAGGGATCATGACTCTTCAAATGACAAACTAAGTTGTCTGATAATGTTGTTGTTAAGAGGTTTGAAATTTATGTGTTTGGGTTGGACTTTTGTCTTATTTAAGAATATTTTAAAGTTGTATTTTTATTATAGGAAGCCATTAATTTTTTAGTTCAGCTAATACCTTTCTCATAGAACACATTATGTCAAAATCAATGGTTTTCACTCTGAATCATAACATACATAACGTTAATTGTCCTCGGTGGGTATTTGTCTTCTGTCCTCGTCTTTTTATATGTATGCAGTGTTAAAAAAAAAAATTCCTCATGTTTTCAATGACAATGTTCCTTTGCTTCTGTATCCCTTGGCACTATTCTTCTTCAAGAGGACCTCAACACCAACCTATTGGATAGATTTCTGTATTCTCAAATGCAATTTTCATCGAATTTCCTAGTTCTCGTAGGTGATTTATTTGTTTTTATTTATATCTATTATCTACATTGAATCTACTGGTTAGTACATAATATATGATTTGGATATAAAGTTTGATCACCGACTTAAAATTGAATGCTCACTTGGCAAAAAATTAATTTTACTAAAGGAATCAAAATGTTTTTGGTTCTTGTTTTGAATTTTTATGAGTTTCAAGCTGTCTAGGTCCCTTTTGTTTGTTTGTGCGTTTCATACTTGAGTATGCATTATGAGTATGAGATTTAAATGCCATAACATTTTTTAAAAATGCACCTGACTTCAACACTCAAAAGAAAATAATAATAAATTTATTTTTTTTAAATATGTCCCACTAAAATAATGTTATCATATGACAAGAAAACTTATATAAGATCGGCTCTTTACATAACATCGGTCTAGTCATGGGCTAATTGGCATATGATATTAAGACGATTCACATTTAATTTAAAAACTTTAACATAATGTAAGTACAGTATATGTGTTTAGTGTTTCTATATAATTATATTTATTTTTGAGTATAACTAAGTTAAAAAATGATCATAATTGTCAATAGATGCACCTTATGTTTGTTTTTAGCATAGTGTATACTTACAACACATTAGTATCATGGAAGTATTCCTGTAAAATATAATATGCAAATGCATCTAGATCTGAACCCTACTAATAAATATTTGGTATAATCTAATATTATGTTAAAGCTCAATCATAGTTAGTATTTTAAATAAGGTTTAACGGTATAAACACATTAATGTTTACGCACATAAATATTATATTTATTATAAACAATTTTTTAGACAATTATAATTTTTGTAAAGTGTGATAGCCATTTTTTTATCTTTGGTGGGTGTTCACTTTTTTTGTACAACAGAGACCATATGATAATATTTGTAATGTCCAATTTTGTATTCGAATCCATGATCAGGTTGTAAAGTTCTGTAGTTCGATCATTTTCCGAAAAACCAATTTCATTTAACAAATCTAAAACCTTGTCAGATTTTAGTTGATCAGCAGCAGTCAGCAGTGGTTTAGTGGCTAGATATTGGTTAAATGTCCACAACAATGACACTTCACCAATTGATGAATCCGTAGGAGATCTGACCACTTTAGGACTAGGCTTAACTAAAGGAAAAATAATTTAAGATTAATTATGAATATTTAACTTATTTAATTATAAACTAACTATGTTGCCATATAACAAAGACTTTAACCATGCTCTTTGTGTCTTTACAAGCCACATTTTTGAATGCTTTAATGGTTTCAAATGTTTTCAAATCTTTCAATACAGACGAATGCACATGATAAGAAATATCCCATGCAACTGCTGACCATAAAATTGGTAAAGCTAATAGAGAATATGGTGGATCGTCTGGATCAGCAAATACTACTGTATCATTCTAAATAAAATGTACAGTTGTTATTATAAGTTACTATATAAATAATGATGGAAGAGAAAAAGTCTCGGGGAAAAGAAGTCTCAAAGGAAAAATGTCTCAGACAAAAAAAGTATGTTATAAAAAAGACAATAGCTATTAATTATGTAATGATATAGCAGTTAATAAATGATAAAGATATATTTAAAAAAATAAATAGATAGTAAAATAATTATTAGAAAAAAAATGTCATTGAAGCATAGTCAAAAATATTAATATTAAAAAATAATATATATTAATAATATATATATCATTAACTTGGATGAATTGTCAGAAATATTTTTTACAAAATAGAATAAAAAACATTATAGAATTATAAAAAAAACTTTTGTACAAATCATTGATTTTATAACTTAAAATTTTGGGTTATAGCTTTAAAAAAATCTTGGAGATAAAGTTTTATACATTTTTAACCCCAGAGACTTTTTTATCTGTTTATCCATAAATAACAATTAAAATCTTACTTTTATCAGATTTTCAATGTCATTATTGATTACAGGCTTAGAACTGCTTATGGGTTTTTTATTAACATTACACTGAATTGATTGTTCTCTTACTAGGATAGGTACGACATCCTTAGCATCAGGGAATTTTACATCTAATTTACTTAATCTGAGTTCAAGCTGTTGTAATGTTTTGAGAACTTCAGTTTGTTTCTCTATAAGTGCTTGGATTTCTTGATCGGACAATTCAGTATCATCACTTACATCCTGGAACAAAATCAAGAAAAAATTGTAAAAAGTGACAAGAATAATCCATTAAAATAGTTTATAGATAGAAAATTAGAAACTTAAAAAAAAATCTATAAATAGGTATTTACTATGCGCTGTGAACAAAATTATTGATAGAATAGGTCTTTCACCCGGTCTTTCACTACAAGAAGAGTATTATTTAAAACTATTTGTTTCTATTTAATTCTGTTGTTGGTCTAAAAAAAATTCTAATTTTTAAAAACCTACTCAGGCACTTTATATTCTGAAAAATGCTTGTCAGACTATCGCTCATGCATATAGACAAAATAATACGGGAATAACACAGTGCCAGTAATTGTAACTTGAAAAACGTTAACAATACTCGATTACTCGAGTGGTAAATGCTCTATAGTAAATACTAAATACTATCTATATGACGAGGAACACAGGTCACCGACCCATTATCATACACGTGCGTTTTGGAGATCAAGCACATAATTTTTTTTCTGTAGATCAAGTAACGTTGTTGGTATCTTCTAAGTATGATAAGAAATAATTATGTCAATACCTCAGAACAATCAATCTATATGATCATGATCATCATTCTTAATTAATTTAGTATTATAACGTCTAACAACGTCTATAAAAGTTGATTTGAAATCAAAAGGGTGTTTATTGCACACCATTATGACTCGGTTTAGCGAGTAAACGTTTTCATTCCAAAACCGCAGGATTATCGATATAGAGGTAAGTTCACGTTTTATTTTATCTATGAAACAGGCGTCAATCCCGAAAATGGAGAAGTTTATGGTTTCTAAACAAGTCTCGGAAGACTTGCGATTATTAGATTGTCAAAATATAGCAGATAAGTGGAAAATTGACGACGGCACTAACCTCATCAGACTTGTCGATCATCGGCATCCCGGAGAACGAAATCTGTTGTAAATCTTTGAGTTTGTACATGCGGCAAGTGCTTTCACCTAACGTAGGTACTGGGACCACCGGTTTTAGCTTGTACATGATTGTGGGAATCAGCGGACGAACAGGAAGAAAAACAAATGACGATCAAAAATAGAATTGTGCTACCGAAACCGAGTCACTAAAGAGTGTATGGTAGTTTGTGATAATCCTAAATTTGGAATTCCGACTTACGCAGTTACGCCGTTTAACGGGCCGCAAGCTCGCAGGCCGCAGCTGACGTAATCACGAACAGCAGCAGGCTGCAATCGTCGACGCGTTATCACGAACTGTTCATCGCTGTCGGTGATAAAGATAAACAGTGTGACCAACTGAACCTGGCCAACTGTTTTTTGAAGACGGGTCTTCGCTGTGGTGGCCGTCAGAGTTTGACGTTTATGGAGACGACAAGTCCACCAGACTGGCTATCTTGGTAAATTGGTGGCCACATTAAGTAGCCGGACAAACGGGACAGTGGTCGCACAATCACCATTAACGGCCGGAATGGAAAGCGCGAGGCGGCGGCTGGCCAATGGGAGCGGGAGAAGATTGCAGCTGCCGCGGCGGCGAGAGTTCATGGCAAAACGTGTTGAGTGGAGGAGGTCGCAGGACGCGTCGCATTTCACCCGCACGACCGTTTTCGTCTCTCACAGCAACACCGTCTCTAGGTGACGGGAGCGAGCGAGACAACACGACCGAAGAACAAACAACCAACACTACAACGACGTTATTGCAACGACTATTACTATTATTGTTATTTAATATTACGTGCCCGTTTTTTCTTTTATTTTCGTTTCGTTTTTTCTTCCCGTCGTGTCGTTTTGTTTTGTTTATGAACGGTTGCTTGACAGCGCGTGCCCGCCAGGAGACTGCCTTACCACGACAGCGACTTGCAAGCAAAGCGAACCGCCGCGACCGACCACACGACTGCAGTGTGTGATAATAGTGTTTTCGTTACGGCGGTACGTAACACGGTATTTTGCGATGCGAACGAGTGCGTCGAGTTCGGAGCCCCACGAAGGTCACCTGACCGCGACTCGACACCCGCCGTTGGCCCGTTAACGTCCGTTTTTTTTTCGCGCGCTCACCGACATCGTACACGCACTGCAGGCCTACCCGCGACTACGACAGCTGTGCGTGTGCGCGCGATTTTGTGTCCACGGATCGCGGGTATAACAATATCACAACATTGTCCACCTATCATTTCCATCGTTGTAGCCTGTTGGTAGTCGGTAATCGGTATAGTCCCGCCGCAAAACAACCGTAGTGATCTTTGCTGTACGATTCGTCCTCGGGGTGCCGTGTGTCGCGGCGGAGACTATCCCGGTCCATATTAATATTTTGGTTATTCGACAGTTCGGTTATCGTCAGTTTACATCCGCCGCCGAATAACGGTCGCCAGCAGCGGTTGTTGTTGTTGTTGTAGTGATAACGACGCTGACCATGTCCGGCAGGCCAAAGCGCAGGGGTCGTCCTCCTAAAACTCCGGGCTCAGACAAGCCCAAGTTTCAGATGCACTTGCTGAAAAAGCCGAAGTACCTGCAGAATCTTGAGACTGTGGATGTTGTTCAATCGCCTGTACCTGGACGATCTGTAGCTTCGAGACGCAGCGCTCCGGCGTCTGTTGGGGCTCGTACCTCAGAGGTTGTCGAAACGCCATCGCGCAACACACGTCGTTCCAACCAGAAACCTAAGACACCCAAGACGCCAGCTGTGCCAAAACCTAGAGCACCACGTCCATCGACTAGCAAGAAGAAGAAAACTAAAAAGTCTATTGTTGACAAAAGTCACGATTACCATTACGGTTCCGACTTTGATGAGTCTGAAAAGAGTGAAGACCCATCTGAGAGTGAACAGTCTGACACTAATGTTGAAGATGTTGTTGATGATGTAAGTGACAGTGATTTCTCCGTCTCAGGCTTTTCTGTTGCCAGTCGTGCACGTAAAAGCAATGTCTCCTACATTAGAAACCCTAGTCCTGAGCCGCTGTGGCTCAGGGGTGAAGAAATACCCAAATTGGAGTTACCTAAATCCTCAGAAGATCTCCTAGTGCCTACTGAACACATCATGCAAGCTTTAAGTGTGTACGAAGTGTTAAGACGGTTCAAAAGCCAGGTATATAACGTTTAGATACAATGTAGTTTTTTCCTCATTCCGAGTCATTTTTTAAATATTTTTGTTATAGGTGCGATTATCACCATTTCGTTTTGAAGATTTTTGCGCAGCTCTTGTTTACGAAGAGCAAAGCTACCTGTTGGCAGAGGTTCATATGATGTTGTTGAAAGCAATATTACGTGAAGAAGATTTACAACAGACTCATTATGGTGCTGTTGATCAAAAAGATAGTATCAATAGCATATTATATTTTATGGATACTATTACATGGCCTGAAGTATTACGAGAATATATTGAGTCTGATAAATCATTTGATCCACAAGTTCTTAAAGTATTTAATAGTGGTGATGAATATCCATTTACAAACATCAAAAATAGATTATCTGTCCTGCAGTTTTTAACTGATCAATTTTTAACCTCTACTCTTATTCGAGAAGATTTTATTCATGAAGGTATATATTTATATATAGATAAATTGTTAAAAACATATAAAATATAATCGTATATAAATTCTTTAGGCCACAGTTTCCAATATGATGATCATTGTCGAGTGTGTCATAAAATGGGAGACCTTTTATGTTGTGAGACRTGTCCGGCTGTGTTTCATTTAGAATGCGCTGAGCCTCCTTTACATGATGTTCCTACAGAAGATTGGCAGTGTAATTTGTGCAAAGAGCATAAAGTCATCGGAGTATCTGATTGTATACCTGACGATGAGAAATCGGGTTTATCATCTCGTCAGGACCATTTAGCTTATGATCGACATGGTCGTAAATATTGGTTTCTAGTTAGACGAATTTTCATGTGAGTATTTTAATATTACTAATATTACATTTATAATAACCTCGATACTAACATAATTTGTCATGTGATATAGTGAAAACGAAGAGACTGGAGAATGTTGGTATTATACAACAGAAGAGCAACTAGGTTTATTATTAGATTCTTTGGATCGTGAAATGGAATCAACTCTTTTCAGTGAAATAGAAAAAGTCAAAGAGGAAATTAATCGACAAATGAAAATAACTATGGACCTAACCTTACAGTATCGACCATCAAATAGAAAAACATTTTTGGATGTTGAAAACAGTAAGACATTAGAAGTTTGTTAATAATTAAAAAATAACTTGCATTATAGACGTAAAAATATGTACAAGATTCACTAAGGATTGCTTGAATTAGGAAAACTTTTGAATGGGGTTGCTAAAGTGTAGTATGTTATCTATCAGATAATATGACATACTCTTTTATAACATGCTATATTTTTATTTGATTTTATCATGATAAAGTTATTATTTAGTTAAACAACATATAGGGTGCCCCCTGAGGATTTACCCATTGCGATAACTCCTGAGATAATAATAAATACATCATAAATCTGTTTGTTTTTTATTAGACAAGCATAGGCGAAGGCTACATGCATTTTATTTTTTATTTCATTAAATTTTTTACTAAAAAAGTTTATAAAAAAACTGTTTCTTAATTTTTGACAAAAATAAAGATAACTTTTTTGTAGTTTATTTTGCTGAAAATTTTGAGCTTTCAACATTTTATTTTCATTAATCATAAGATTTTTTATAGTTGTTTTAGTTTATATATAAAATAACAAAAAATTGGTTTTTATCTGGGCAGCGAGTACCCCTCCACAACTAATGTTTACGGGACAGTTGGTATAATTTTTATTTAATATTATAATAGCTAAATATCCGTGACAATAATTGATAAAAATTCTCCAAGACCCACAATAACTTCATTTTAGATACTATTTTAGTTTCTTTTATATCCTTCCACCTTGCTGTGTTAAACAACATATTTGTTAAAACACCAACTAATAAAAGAATAGTGGTGGTCCATTACAACATAATACGAACATTTATTTAAAGTTTTCTGGTATGACATAAAATTGAAAAAGCAATTTAATTTATTAAAATGATTGATGATCATTAGAAATATATTAAGTAAATTTTAGTTAAATCAATTTTTATCAATTTATTAGTAAAATATTGTAAACAATCGTAAATTATTAGGTATATGACACATGTACCAAAACAAAAATGTACGTACTTGAATGTTTAAATGTCTTATTGATAAGAATACAATTAAGAAGGGGAACATATAAATATTTTTCTATAAATAGAGGGGTTGGAATTCAAGCATTGGGCTTAAAAGTAAATTCTTCAGGAAATCTTTTTTGCTAATGAAATTAATAAAATAATGTGATAATTTAATATACGCACAGAGAAAATATAAAAAAAAAACAATATAACTAACTGATAATTTACATTTCTATATTACAGGTTATATAATAGGCATGCGAGAAGAGATGCAAAAGAAAAAAGAAATGGAAATGAGTAAAACTGATAATAACTTTGAAGAAGGTACTGAAAATGTGAAGGCTGATAATGAGTCTAACAATGATGGTAAACAAGAACATTCAAATGATGTATCTGTAGACAAAAATGGTATGTACCATTTTTTTAATATTTAATGTTTGCATAATCAAATATTGGTTTATGCTTATAAAATTCATGTTTAGAAAATGAAGGAGGTAGTGGTGACTTGAAAAATGATGACAATTTGATGGATGTTGATGATAGCGAACATAATCATAGTTTAAGTATGTAGATATTAATTATTTTTAATTCAATTACAATAACTTAATTTACAAATATTGTTATTTTCTATAGGGAGCACTCGCAACAGATCATTACGCCTAAAACCGGCACAACGCCAAACGCCTGATCAGACAAAAAAACCACCTGTGATTGAAAAACCTTCTCCAGTTCACTCATACTTAGAGAGCTTGGGAGCTAGAGTAACTCGATTTAAAGCCCAACATATAGCAGCTGGTACCTATTTGTACAAACTTGGCATGGATAATAGTTTTAAGACATATGTAAATCAATACAGTTCAAATCCAACTGCGTTAAATAAGATTCAAAAAAATGAAGAACGTGACAAAAAGCGATATATGTCCCATAAGTTTTCACTTACAGGACCTGGTGAATATAAGTGGTGTGGACAAGTATTTGGTATGTATCAAATAAACAAAACATATTTGATTATTTTTATACATTTTATGTCATTTTCAGGAGCTCGATCAACTCTCATAAGT